CCATCATCATCTCTCTCTCTGTGCGTGTGTGTGTGTGAGTGTGTGTGTGTGTGTGTGTGGGTGTGTGTGTGTGTGTGTGTGTGCGTGCGTGTGTGTTCCCCGTGATCTTTTCTTTACACCCTCAGGAGCAGTTCTTATTATGAAGGATTACTGGCTTTCAGAGTGAACAAATCATTCCTGTTGCCGTTTACGATAACATCAGAAATAATGTCTGCCAGGACCTTTTTTTTAAAATTTATTTTATTTTATTTTATTCCTCATGAGTGTTGGGGTGGTCAAGCCTTTCCGGAAGGCCTGAAGTCTATGTGTGGAAGTGAAGGTGGAGGAGGAGGGTGGAGCGCTGCCTCCTTCCTGGTTAAAAAATAGATTGGGGGGGGGGGCTTTTGCTGGAACCCACTGGGACCGCAGGAGGCAGAGGAGAGACGCCCCCCACAAATAAATCTCCCTCTTTATTGCTCTCTTCCTCCTCTCTCCCTCTTGCTCAATATGCGCCGTCCTCTGGACGGGATCAAAATAAATCACATTTACTATCTGGCTCTGTCTCATCGGATCTTCCTTCTTTTTTTATAGCAGCTTTTGCCTCTGCTGTGAAGGTTACTTGGGAGTTAAAGGTCTATTACAAATTTGTATTTCATAATAATAAAACAAAGGTTTTTTTTTAAGCCTCCTGATGGACTTTGGTCTATTTTTATTTAATTTTTTTTTCCAAACCCAGACACAAGTCAAAGACTTGAAGTGGTGACTGACTGTATGGTGGATGATTCATATTCAGCAAAAGAGAAAGTTGCAAAAAAACAACTTGTGGAACGTGCAGAAATGTCCGTAGTCCCGCTGATTATGTGACCACCAGATGTCCCTCTTCACCTCTCTGCTCGCCTGCAGACACTGGCTGCAACATGTCCTCCGTCTCTCACTGGATAGTTATTTCCACGTTAAATAATACAAGATATTTCACGCCTTCATTGTAAATGACGCCTTTGTGGAAAAAGTACTCACATACTTATTTTTTCTGTTTTTGCTTTTCAAACACTGCACGTCAGAAGAAGAAGAAGAAGAAGAAGAAGCAGAAGAAAAAGAAGAGTATTAAATCAGCTGTCTGACATGGTAGTGGTAGCGTGATGATGTGGGACTGCTTTGATGCTATAGGACAACTTTTGTTGCAACTTTTTGGAACCACGAGTTCAGAAAATCCCGAGCTCAGCCTCAACTGCAAAAGAGAGAGAGGAAAGGAAGGTTTTGGGAGTGGCCTAGTCAAAGTCTGGACTTAAATATGAGATTTTGTGACCTACAAGTGTCAATTCATGTTTAAAACCGCTCCACTGTGGCAAAAATAAAAACTGTTAAGCATAGAAGAGTATGTGAGATTCTTTCATGACTGTGTAGAAATTAATTGTCCTTAATAAACAAAATCAGAATTTGAAAGCTGCATTTTGTATTTACTTAGCCTAATTAAATGTTTAAGTTTTTTTTAAATGATCAGAAACATTTAAATGAGACAAAACAAAAAAAGAAAAAGAAGTAAAAGAGAATCTGTATGTGCTTCAGGTAGATTTTAATGCTACGTTATATTTGCATGAATAATTTACGAAAACCTGTAATCTAATTCTGTTGTCCCAGTTTACCAGATAGCATTTAAAGCAAATAAAATTTTCACCGGTTTCTGCACGTAAATTCGGACTGGAAATGAAACATTTCAAACGCTTCATACACACAAAAGAAAGACCCTAAATAATAATCATTTTACTTTTACAGCTCAGGCTATATTTTGCTTTTGTGACAAATTCAATAAAAGAGGGAGACAAAATATCGAACAGATTTAAATTATTTAAATGAGACGAGCCAATATCTTGAGAAACTAAAGACGACACATCGGGTAAGACGACCAAATAATGTTTGGTCACAGAATTAAAGTCAGATATATTTACGACAGAGACATTAAGCGAACTGGATGAAAAATCAGATGAGCACGTCGTATATTTAACAGGTTGACCGATGGAAAAATGTACAGATTTGAATTTAAAAAAATGAAAAACAAGGAATTTTCCATTGTGTCTGGAAGGGGACGTCGTTCTTTGACAGCGTAGTTTACGCCCTTTTTACAACACTACATAACGCCTTCAGGTGCACCTAGGAAATTATAGTTTCATCAAAGTTTCCTTGTTTTGCATTTCGTGCTCATGTATTTTGCGGATACAGGTTGTGTTTCATCACCTTTTTTTGGCCTTTTAGCCGTTTTTAGTAGCTTTTCTTCTAATTCTGTATCTGTTGATAGTAACTTATAACACATTTTCTTCTGTTTTTATGCCAGATGAGTGTCTTTTGACAGAAATTATGAAGCATCTGAGTTATTTTCACGTGCCAAGGAGTGAATGAAAACTGCTTTATCTTACCCAAACAACTTCTGAGTATAAGCTATTGGATCTTATTTCTTCTTTCTGTTGTTGACTAGAATAAAGGTGATGACTCACTGCAGATGACCTTCAATAAGTCCATGTCTTTCTCTCTTGCAATAATCTTCATTTAAGGCATAAAGCCTGAAGTGCCTTCATCTTAGATGCTTTGGTTTCACTCTTTATTCAAACCCTATTTTAATCAAACCCTATGTGGAATGTTTTTCTTTTAAAAATCAAAGAGAGTACATCTTCAGTTTAAGAGTATTCTTTCACTTTTAGAGATTGCACTGCTCTTTCTCAAAACACATTCCAAAAAAGAAAGAAGTAACTCTTTCTCAATGTTGAAAATGCTCTGCTTTCTCTGAAAAGATTGCTTCTGTGCTCATATTTAATGTTTCTGGATCTATTTTTTTCCCCATTCCTTCTTAGGTCCTGATTGGGATTTTCTTTTTGGTGTTTCTCTAAAAGTTAAAAGAAGAGAGCAGAGAGCAAAGGTTTCAACTGTGCAGAGGAAATTTGAGTGCAAAAATAAGAAGGATTACAGACAAGAAGAGATTATTGTACAGTTGAGTGGGAGTAGAGCATATTGGTAACAAGTCCTTGGAGTGAGACTTGAGTTTTGTGAGAGAATTGTTAAGAATCCTACTCTGGAATTAAAAATGTACACTGATTTTAGAAAGCGTCAGGGTCAGTAAATAAAGAGGATTTAGAAAAATACAACTGGAAGTTATCAAAAGAACTATGTACTGTTCTCTGATCCTTTTGCCACTGTGAAACGTGGAATTTTGCTTTTGCAGAGTATAGTTTATAGAAAAGTAGCAATTTGGGAAAAAAAACATAATAAAAATAAAAAAAACTGACACGGTGTTACATCTTTGAGTGATGTGAAAGAACAGTTCGCTCAGTTCTCTAATTTCCCATGCGTCCTTGAAGCGGTCCTCCTCCGCCCTCCCCCTCTCCGCTCCTGTCCTCTCCTCCTGCTGCTCCAGCAGCAACACTCCAGCCGAGCAGCTCAACTACTAACATGGCGCTCTGTACGGCTGGAGTTCCGTTGTCTTCTCCGCCTTTTCTCTCTCGCTTGGTTTTACTTTAGTATCTAACAGAGGTTTGTTTATTCCTCCCTCTGCGTCCCCGTGACTCAAACACATATTATTTAGACGACCGTGTTTGTCGGCGTAACACTCTCTGCTAAGTGGGTAAAATATTCCGGGGCTCGGCTGCTAACTTACCGCTAGCAAGGAGGCAGAAACTGGGAAAAACAGAACAAACCGAGGAGGAGTCCTGTTCTGGAAGAGGTGAGCCGCATTTACTTCTCTCCCCCTCAGCTGTTTTAAAGTGTTTTATGTAATTTGACTTCCGTCCCGTAAGTTGTTGAAACTGTTATATCAAAGTGCGAATTGGTAGAAAAACTCGTAAAAGTATAATGTATTTATAACGTGGCAATATTAACGTCACATGTAATATATTCCAGCATTTCCGCTTTAATTTCTCCTCTTTTTTTGTATATTTGAGTATCTCTTTAAAACTTGACAGCTTTAACTCGTAAGGTTGTTGCGTAATATTGGTGTTCTTCACGATTATTGCAAGAATATTTTTGTAGCAGCTTGAGAGATTATTTTTCTGGCAGAAATCGACTTATTGTTAGATGAGTGAGTTATTTGCGCTCTTTTAAATCATTTACCAGACGGAGTGTGTTGATCGCATGCTTGATAGTCTGATGTTTGTCCTCCTGAATGATAAATCACAGTGTTTCACTCCTGCGCTCCTTTTTTATTATGCAGTGTTCTCAGTCTGTCTTCTACCAAATCTGGAAAAATCAGAGTTTTGGTTTTTAAGCGTTTTATGTATTTTCCAACTGTGGATACGCATTACAAATGTATTTCCAGTCTTTATTTCCTGTGTTGTTGGCTAAATATTTTGTCACTCATTCACCCGGTGGGATATTTATATCTGGAATTATATTGAATCTCGACATAACATAATATCGTGATGTGAAAGGATCTAAGACCAAAACTATCAAATGTATTTAGACGTGGGCGATACGGACTTTCAATTTTACCGCAATATATTGTGGTACTGTTGAGATAACGGTAAAAATTACGATAAAAAACTATTACTACTTTTACAGGTAACTGTATGACTGTGACTGTATGGTAACACAAATACTGTTCTTGAAAAACATTTCAACATTTTAAATAGTTTTCTTTCATACAACCCTTAAGTAAATAAATGGGATTTAAACTGCAGTAATAATTATATTTAACCATATTTACTGATATTTTTTGATACTCTAATGGAACAAACAGTGGAGAAAATAAAAGTAACATCTCTGATAATTCTGTCGTTTATTTCAATTTTTTTTGTAATTTATTGGGACAAGAATAAATCAAAATGCGACAAATGCACCTTGCAAACGCTAACAGGTGTACTATCGAGTTTTTTCAAATGGTGACCAGACTACAGAGCCGTAATGATTTTGTATCTGTTAAACTTTCACCCACAGACTGTAAAAGTTGCCTGTTTGCGCCTGACATTGTTCCACTTCTCAGCTGATGACACAACACACAGCCATATGTCCTGTCTGTTATATAGATGCTATGACCTATTTCTTGGCTGCACAGCCGATTCATTGGACCTTTTTTTTGTTCACAGCTGATGCGAATGCCATGGCCACAGCCGAGGCATGGCAGTGACGTGACGGCCCCTGAGCTGCTTCCGAACAGAAACCTCGTCAGCTATCATGTCCTTCTGAAGTGAAGGCACATCGCACAGAGTATGGATGAGTCCATTTTACTGGATCTACTCGAGTGCCCTGTGTGTCTGGAGCGCCTGGACGCCTCGGCGAAGGTTCTTCCCTGTCAGCACACCTTCTGCCGTCGATGTCTCCAGGGCATCCTGGGTTCGCGCGGGGAGCTGCGCTGCCCCGAGTGCCGGACGCTGGTGGATTGCGCCGTGGACGAACTGCCGAGCAACATCCTCCTCGTGCGCCTTTTGGATGGCATCAAGCAGAGGCCTCGAGCCTCCGCGTCCGCCGGAGGCGTCTGCGCCAACGGCACGTCCGGAGCCGTGGCCCGGGCGCATGGGAGCGGAACCAGGGACCCGGGCGCTCCGGGTTTGCAGCCCCAACGCACCCAGGCAAAGAGCACTGCCGTCCGGGTGAGTACAGCGCCTGACTGGACATGCCTTAAGTGAGCTTGTCCTTCCCATTGTTAGAGCCAAATTGAGACAAAACAGGGAAAATCTGTGTGGATTAACAGCAGCATGTCGGGTCTCTAATCTTTGGTCCGGATTACTGGTTATCATGGGGGATCTTTAAGCCAGCCAGTTGACCAGCAGCCCATCACCACCACAGGCGGAGATTTAGAGCAGTCAGTAGTTTAGCCGCTAATAATTCCACTTACCCTGTTGATGGCACACAGATTTTTTTTTGTGGGTTCAGTCATTAGTGTCCTTTTAGTCAAGACTGGATTTAGAAGAATACCGTCTGTAGCTGGTTTTAGTGTCCTATTCCAGGAAAAATAAAATTCACGCATACAAATTACATAACATTAACAGGTAGGTCTACAGATTTGCCGGTGATTGGGTTCAAACTAGAGATGCTCAGAGCAATTGCCTCATATCTTCTATTGATCGATTTTCGGCTTGTTTGCCCTGGATTATGACTGGCCAGTTGACAGTCATATATATATATTATATATATATATATTATTTATATATATATATATATATATATATATATTTCAATCAGGGGATACACAAGTGCTTTCAGGTTAAAAACATTTTCTGGTGTGGAAACTGCAAATGAGTGAGAAAGACCCAAAGTAGCTGTTTGTATGGTTTGGTGAAATATTTAGAATAAAGTCATAAGCTTTTTCAATTATATTCAGCAACATGAGATGTTTTGAGTTCATTAATACTTTCAGCAGGTAACAGGAAGGCTAAACAGAGAACAGCAAAGTTTGGTTTTATCTTTTGAGACTGTCCACCTGCTGAACATGCTGATGTTAGAAATATTTGCAATCTTCTGGAAATCATGGAGTTGTTTTAAGGATGTAAACTGTCTAAGGAACGCAAAATCAAACAGTTTTTGTTATGCTAGCTGCACCACACATGCTAACTGCTAGTACAAGATGCAAAATTAGTAGTAGTTGGTTTGAAATTATAAAGACCTGTTTTACAGTGCGACGACGCCTTGACTTCCCATTTTTATTGTTTTTATTTTGTTGTTTTTACCTCCTTGTAATTGTTCAGCACGTTGAAAGCATTTATAAAGTTATTATTATTAGTATAAATTATTTAAAATTGTTATCAGCAGGTCAGAAGCTTTGTAAAAACAGGAAATTGGCCACAAAAGTTTAACTGGTGTATCTGTAAGTAAAATCTGAGTGCACTGTACATTAGAAATTTATAAGGTATTGTATTTCCTTTTTCATGTAGAAAGAAGAATAACTGAATGTTCTTTCACTGATATGACATAAAACTTTATATCAGCACTGTGCAAAAGGTCAAAAATTCAAAGGAAATCTTGTTAGGAAGTGCTATTTTAATGTACTTGTCCAGACTGTTTTGTATGAAACACGACCATCAGACCTCAAGTCCCTTACTTTTTAAAATTTACACAAACTAGTTTGACTCTATCAGATTTCTTCAAAATTTGGGCTGTAATTCTTCTCAGGTACCGCCTGACGTGTGCAGGAAAATTACCTGTGGGCCCCTCTTTGGGCTGCGCTGGTCCCCACGAAGGGAGGATTGGGTAGATGAAAAGATGTCAAGGTTCTGTGTAGAATCACTGGAATGTCCGATAATGTATCTGCCCAGCCATGCAGGTATGAAGATCAGAGAACCTTCTGTGAATTGCTACTGGGGGACCTGCCTCATTCGCCAAAGTATCACTTCAGAAGATTTGTTCTCTGTTTCAAAGCTGTTTGTGCCTTTTGGAATCTCCCCCTGCAGATACTAAGGAGGCCGATTGTTGGAAATTGAGCAGGCGTCATTTGAAACTATCCAATTATTTCCCTTGAACTCTTCTCTGCTACTTTGTGTTGGTCTGTTTCATGAAATCTAGATGAAATCCATCAAAGTGTGATGCTGTAGTAAAGCTCTTCTCAATAAGCAATTAGGGAACTAATCGCTTACTGATGAATAAAAATGAGCTTGGTAAATTTCATTCCCATTGTAGGGCTAAAGCTATTTATTGGATTAATCGTCATGAATTGATTTATTGAAATAAAAGTCAACTAATTTAGTAATTGATTAATTGTTAACTGACGCATACGGACTCAAAAAAATGTCCATTTGCTATATATAATATATAACATAATATATTCAGATCAATAACTAAGGCAAAACTGTACAAAAAATTTCAGAAAATGTTTTTATGGAATATTTTTTAATAAAGTAATTGATAGAATACTTGAATTCAAGAAGTAGTTATAGTACTACCTAATATTTTTTACACAAACATAATCCACTTTTTCATAGTTTTGCTGTTTTCTTTCCATTTTATGTCTTGTTTTCAGTTGTCGTGTTTTATTTTGGATATTTTAAAACTCTCCATGTCCTATGTAGTCTTCTTTACAAAATTCAAGTTTATAGGTCTTTAAGAGGGTGCAATTATCAACATGAAAACAATCTCAAAACAACAACAACATTATTGTTTATTGATATAAACAATAATATTACAGCAAAATTTGTTATTGTGACGGGCTTAGTTGTACCGTAATAAAAGCAGCAAAGTTTAATCGACATACAAGATGCGTACATTTATTCATACAATGTACAGGTAAGTCTTTCAAAGAGATCAAACTATCTCCCTGCGTTATTTAACGTTTTTGTTGTCTGTCGAGCCGCTGTCTGCATCTCCTGAGTCTGTCCTGCTGACTGAATGCATTCTGTCAACTCCAAAGAATCAAGAAAAGATGTGGCTGTGCAGGTGTATCATTTTGGGAACATAAAAGACGGAGATCAAAGATCTTACACTTCGTCCAGTCTGATCTCTGGCCAGCGCTCCATGGGCATTGAACGCTTCATTGCTCCCGGGTGACACCCTCAGTCCCATTTCTTTCTTGTTCGTCATCTGTCCCTTTCGGGAAGGGTTGGAGGTTTTGGGGGAAGGAGGTTTGGAGGGGGTGGGGGGGGGGTCGTCTTTTAAAGCTTGAGGCTGCTCCTCTGGTACTGTTCTTCTGTTAAAGCAGGGCTCCACCTCCGATTCTTATGTGACTAAATAATGGCTTGGAGGGCAGAATGGTGGGGACTGGCTGACAGATGCACAACAGGGTTTTGTTCTGGGTTCCCTCTGATCCTCCTGACCGGCCGACACGCGTAGAGTGGCCCACAGAGTGATTTTTATGTGTGTGGAAGGCCGCCGGTAATGGTGTTAAGCAAACGCGTCGGGACCAAAAGGGACAAATGTTCAGAGAGCAACCTCTCTTTATCTCCGGGGCTGCGGCTTGCCTTTGACGCAGCGCCGTGGCATTTGCTTCACGAGGGCCATCAAAAGGCTCGTCCTCACTGTAGCAGAGTGTCTACGTGTGTGACTCGCCTCCAGCGGAGCTCCATTACGGGGATGTTTTGTCTTCCCCGGCCCCGTGTTGACTCATACAACACAGGATTTGGTTGGCAGAGATTGGAAGCAGACACTTGGTGGTATTTCTCCGCAAGAGCGAGGGAGGCCTTTTGAGCCATGGGGGAGTCAAAAGGTCGGAGTTCGCGAGTCACGGTTGACAAGGGTCATCGGCAACTGGGGAAATGGGAAGGGAATTTGAGATCCAAGTGGATGTCTTCAGTTTCATTGTGGCTCCCCAGAGAGTTGAACTCATAATCCTTTGCACCAAAATAGCATTTCTGGAGTTTTTCATGAGTCTTTTGTGTTAATTTTTAATGATGCTCCCAGTCAGCCGCAGTTTGGAGTTTGAAGTTTAGATTCAGAACTTTTGTTTCATGTCTGTCAGCTCATGCTTAGCTGATAAGTAATGAGACGCTGGTTTCTCTCTAACCTTCCTTCGATGTATTCGGGTCATTGTCTCTCTTTTCAATTTGACTCTTTCTAGGGCGGTACAAAGATAGAAAAACTTGCCAGGATATTAATTTGGAATATTGAATTAAATATATTGGTTACAATTAAACACATATTTTCCTCACTAATTTTTTTTCATTATTGCAATGTCTAGTGAGTCTTAGCATCTTGGTCACTAATGTTTACATCAGGTTTTGGCATTAAGGACAGTAAAAGTCTGTTTAACCAGCTGAATATATCGTTGTCATGCTAGGGGGTGGGTTATATGGAGTTGAGGTTTTATCACCATATTTTGTCATATTTGTTTTGATGAGTGTAAAAGTGGGAAGGTGACTAAGAGTGCATTCACTCCAGCCCTGCTTAGTTAACTTTAATCCAACTCCAGTTTGTTTGCCTAGAAAGTTTGGTTTGTTTGGGGAGGTGTGAACGCACAATTGAACTCTGATGTGGATAAAAAAAGCGAACTCTGGTCCGCCTTGGTTGACGTGAACTCTAACACAGATGTGAAAGCTAAGCGGATGGGAGATCACTGCAAACGTAGGACTATAGCACAGGGCATTCTGGGTAAATATAACCAAAACAAACAAGTCTAGAACAAGCAGGAGAAATGGCTCATGGACATTTGCCAAAGGTAAAATTTGGCAACCGCTAAAATCTGATGCTGCTCTGTTTTTGTTAACATTTCACACAGGATGAAGTTGCGGTCGTCGTCTCCAGAGGTTTTTGTGTCATTTCCTTCGGAGTTTCTTGGTGCAGCGACACCACAGGCGAAGTGGGGAAACGGGTTTGGTTTGTTTGACACCGTGCAGTGTGAAAGTGAACCGCTCCAGCTGGAAATGTAATAAGTTTTGCAATTTTGGTTCTCAATGGTACAGAGTCTACCGGACTATCAGGTGTGAAAACACACTCAGAGTATGTCGCTGCATACAGAGTCTCAAAAACACAAATGCTGCTTTGAAAAACAAAACTAAGCCATTATCAGACCAAAATGCAACTATCGGTTACATTCAAGAGTCCAATTGAACCACTAAACATGGTAAATCATTTTACAGTACTATAGTTTTTCATCCCTACTGGATGGTACTTCATCATCGTAGCCCACCAGATATCGCTTCCAGGCATTGATTTGTGATTCGTGTAG